TCTGAAGGTGAAGAGGAAGAAGAAATGGAAATTGATTCTGAAGAAGAAGAAGAAGAACAAATGGAAAAACAAAAGATATTATTAAAAAATAAAAAGAGAAATTCAAAGAAAATAGCATTTTAATTGGGATAATAAATTAAAAATCTTTTTAAAGATTTAAATAATTACAGTATTTAGTATTATATATCAGAACTCTGAATTTGTGTATCATAATAATAAAATGGGTTGAGAAATTCAATCAATATATTTGTGAAAAAAATAAACTCTATTGAATTTTATAAAATAGATACATATGTATCTGATTCTAGTATTTCTGAACTATAAGTTCATAAGTAGTTGAAAATATAGTACTATGCTATCTTTGATCATAGAATTAACCAAAAAATTAAAATTCGACAACTGCAGGACTCGAACCTGCGCGGGCAGAGCCCAAAAGATTTCTAATCTTTCGCCTTAACCACTCGGCCAAGTTGCCATTAATTTATAAAAATTATTAAAATAACAATGCCACCTGGTATAAATTAAAAATTCTAAAATAATTTATGAAACAACCGCAAATCTTCTTCTTGCAATTGATATTAGGTGAAAAGTGTTGTGACTTTAACCTGGATACTCGAGGATAAAGTTTATGTCACTATTGCTATTTTTCGTACAAGGTGAATGTATCGATTTCTCTAATATATAAAAGGAACAAATTTTCAGTTCCGATATATAAAACTACTTATGTTATATAGACTACTCTGCTATAAGATGAGGATTGAGTTACCACTATCTGACCTCAGTAATAGGTCAACGTACCTATTTAACGTATATCTACTTACATTGAAGCTTGAAGCTTTTACCATTCTGACAAAAAGTATATTTCCTAAATATGATGAACTGTAAGTAACCTCCAGATTGAAGTTCTCAGCCTCTCTAAGAAGTCAAAAAAAGTGAACAATAGAATTATTTATTATGCCAAATGACGTATATAGGAAATATCTCACAAATGCTCTATAAATATTTGTAGAGAATTATGTTGTGGTTTTTCTACCGAATCGTTCATAGTAATAGATTCTTTATTTATTTCCAAGGACATTCTTAATAAGTTGATATTGATCCGGTGTATTAAAGTATATAATATACACATGGGAATATAATTAACATGACAAGTGTCGATTAAGATCTTGTCATTTCTTATATAAAGTGTTGGAAAAGTTTTAACGTCAGAAATAACACGTTCGTGTAAAGTAACATTTCTTTATCCTATATGAATAATGTCGTAATACGTATATATCACGTGTTACCTCATAATTCTGACAATATTTACTTCTATTCTTGACAATTCAACATCTAACAAGCTATAATGGATTTGAATAAGAAAACTTTAATGAAACATAAAAATAAAACTGGTTTAAATTGTAAACCAAAACTGATATTATGTAATTAAATTCTATTTAATAAACTTTTAAACATATAAAGAACTAAGATACTTCCATATTAGTCAATCGTTATTAACCATGTAATAGCTAACAATTATATTAAGGTTATAATTGAAAGAGAGAAAATGAAGGTAAAACTAAGGATTCCCCCAAAAAACCAAAATCAATCCTTTTCAGAGGAGCAATCACAACATTTTTTGGAATTAGCACACCCTTTTTGTCTATTTAAGCATAAATCTGAATCCTCACAGCAATTACAACATATGTTTATTTTGCAGATACAGTCATCCTTTGAACTACATGATATTTCTTGGCTCTTATGACAACTTTTAATTGTACATGAACATTGAGAGGTACAAATTTCTATTCTACAAGCACATTTTGGGACATTACTTCTGCAACAGACTTTTGATTTAGCTGAACATGAACATAACTTTTCACTACAGCTACACGATACTTTCTTACAACAACCTGTCTCTTTTTGTTCACAACTACAATTTACCTTCCTATTACCAATACAATCATCTTTATCACAGCATTTTGAGTTGCTTTTGCATGTACATTTCTTGTCACCGCATGCTGAAGGTTGTGAACTATTTCCACATGAACATGCAGTTTGGCACAATGTACATTTGCATTGATCATTACATTTACCTACTTGGTTGACCATTTTTAAAATATTATATTAACTTTTGTTTCTGTTTTATATCAATGACACTAATTATTACCTTTATTAGTGTATGCCTTTTTTTTATAATAAAAAAAATAAAATGGAACCGATAATTATTGCCATTTCAAGAACTTTAAAAATTTGTAATGACAAGAAATGTGATATCGACATCTGTTTATATACCTTTTAATTATTTGTAAAGTCCAAAAATTTCAATCATAGTTCAAATTAATTTTATTCGTTAAACATTTCAAAATAATTCAGCAAAACTGCCTCAAGCTACTTAACTGATAAAGGAATCAAAAATATTAGAAGAGAGAGTAACGAAGTATAATTAACTAGATAAAATTTATTATTTTCTATATCTTCTAGAAAGATTATTTGATTATAAACTTTCATATATAATTCAAAATCGCAGGATATACCATACCATACAGCATTAATGCCGTCGCCATTTGAGGTTTTAATTCTGTACGTAAACAGGAAAAATAACGACATCGAAGCAAAAATAGAGCTATACATATGGTTTCCTTTAGATTAAGCAACCAATAAATAGAAGTTTACAAAGTATTGGAAGAAGTATACTCATCTCGGAGTATATGGGTGCATATTGTTGCTTTCACTGTACATCAACTCAACTAAGAATAAGAGAACAGTATGGATATGGATGGAATGATGTAAACTATTTTAAAAATGGTAACAAAAGAGCGACTATTGCTGACTGAAGTAACTAATGTAATATTTTCAAATGAAATATTTCTAGTAACATATATTTCATGTGGAAGAGAACAAAATGAAGTCGCATTTAGAGACAACTACTGGCCAGATTTATTCTCAACATCTGATTTATTCATCTTCCGTTGTGACTTTAATCTGGACACTCGAGGATAAAGTTACTGTCACCATTGCTGTTTTTCACACAAGACGAATTTTTCGATTTCTCTCATATATAAAGGGAACAAATTTTCAGCTCCAATGTATAAAACTATTTATGTTATATAGACTACTCTGCTATAAGATGAGGATTGAGTTACCACCCAGTGACCTCGGTAATAGGTCAAGATCCCTATTTGACGTATATCTACTCATCATAAAACTTAAAATCTCTTTATATCCTGAAAATTAGTAATTTCCGATGGAACATTCTTAAGTTAATATGTATGTATTGTTTCGAAGATAGCTTGACAAGAATGATTGCATCGTGAATATGCCCAATATTATGTATTACTCTCCTTGATAATTATAAAGATGAAAAATAACTATTATTTAAAACTATTGTAGATTATTATTACTGTATTGAGGGTTTCCTTTCAATCGTGCTGTTCACTCAATTGTTCCATAACAGGATCACTTCTTTTAGTTTGATACATAGTTAGTTATAACATTTAAAGTACAAATCTCCCGTTCGAACAAACCCACGTAACACATGATAATATGGCTTTATTATGTGTATTCTTTGTTGTGAATTCTTTAGTTGTAGATATCTAATAATTGTACGTTGAATAAATGCTGTTATGGTAATTATTCTATTCGTCTATTTGGTGGTAGATTAGTACTGTAAATAAGTATATTTATTAATTAAAGAGTTCTATATCCCCTTCTTCTAATGTACAAAGTAAGTAAATAATATACAATACTATACAACTGTTTCAAATAGCAGTCACTATTATTCTTTATAAGTATGAACGATAATAACACTTATTATCTGGTGTCATAGATCTTACAATCCATTCGTATTAAACTATGTTGAAACAATACATATGAAAGTACCCACGTGATCAATATCAATAATTATTTAATTCCCTGTGTATATTATATTGTACACGTATTTTAATACACCGAATCAATATCAACTAAATAACTATGTCCTTGGAAATAAATAAAGAACCTGACATAATGAAAGATACAGCACAGAAACATTCAAATGATTCTCTACATGTTTTCCCCTCCTGGACTTCATCAGATGAAGATTTGATCCACGAACCTACTATAAACGCTTACATTAAATTGCTATTCAACAAACAAGACGAACTTGAAGATGAATTAACAAAATTGCTATTGTCACCTCGAAGTGAGGAAATTATCAAGAAAAGACAAGAAACTGAGGATGAACTCTCAGATGTGAGAAAATACATCAAAGTGTTCAACGAATCTTTAGATTTTGAGGATTTGGCTGAACCAAATAACTTGGTCACAAAGGAACCATCAAAAATGAATAACAAGGCAATTGGTTCTAGATTGGTTAATATCAAAGGTGAAGATATAGCATACGATGGTCGTCTTGATACTTATCAATTTACTTCGAAGTTAAAGAGTATTAAAAACTACCCAAGATGGCTTGAAGAATTTAAGGAGTTCCTTGGAGCACATAACTTCGACGATATCACAGAATTGTCAAATGAGACAATTATCTCACCAGCTGAGAATCATGTTCTCATGAAAATACTTAAAAGTACTATCCAAGATCCAAAAATGGCATACTTCTTGAAATCAGTCAATTCGGCCATAATCTTATTAAATAAGATTGATAAAAAATATCATAAAACTTTTACAATGCCATTTAGAGAGATATTATGGAAAGATATTTCATTAAACAAGAATTCTATTAATCTGGAAAAGCAACTTTCAGATGCTTCTGTCTTAATCAAATTGGATATACATTTTGGTATTTTAAAGAAGTATGCCATCACTGATTTACGTAAGCGTACTAATAAATATGTTATTGAATTAATTCAATTAGAACATGGAAATCCATATAATATAGATGCCTTGTCATTTCTTGGATATATCGAAGAAACGATTAATGAAGAAATAAAAGAGGATCTCGAAAGAGGCATAAAACCCATAGAAAAAGGGAAACCTTTTGCTACCTCAAAAGTATCTAATACTCTTAGACAAAACCAAGAAAAATGTCCTTTACCATACCAGGTTCCAGTAGTTTATACTAATCGATCCATGTGCTACAAAGAGGCAATCGCCAAAAATACCAATATGGAAGAAAGAAAGTTATTCCAAGAGGCTTATAAAAAGGAACTTCGTAATTTAAAACGTATGTTGGTGTTTGATATAAAGGCAGGAATTCCTCGAAATCAAGTTAATGGAGAAAAAATCATTCCAGTTAAAACTATCTTTACTGTTGAACAGGATGGAACACACAAAGCCCGTATAGTATGTCGTGGCGATCAACAGACTCCGTCTACTTATGGAGACATTAGCACCGCTCTGTTAGATATGGATACCTTAAAATTATTGTTAATGATCGCTAACAATAGCAAGATGGTGATACAAACTTTAGATATAAATAATGCATTTCTATATGCTGATCTAAAGGAGGTGATATATATACCACATCCGTATGAACCGAAGAAAGTGGTTCAACTAAATAAAGCGTTATATGGATTAAAGCAAAGTATGAAAAAATGGAATGATCATTTAAGAAAATATCTAAATAGTTGTGCACTCTATGACACGGAATATACGCCAGGCTTGTTCATGAATAAAGAAAAAACCATTATCATCGCAGTCCATGTCTCTAACTGTATTATAGCCGCTAATAACAAAATGACACTAAAAAAGTTTATTAATAATCTAAAAGAAACCTTTGAATTAAAAATAGTCGGAACCATGGAAAAAGGTATACTAAAAACTAATTTTTTAGGAATGGACTTATACTATGACATAAAGAAAGGAGAGATATCTTTATCATTGGAAACATACTTAAAAGGTATAGAAAATGATTGGATCGATGAACTAAAGTACATAAATTTCGACAACTGTCCTCATTGGTCAAGCTACAATAACAAAAATAAAGTAATTCCAACTCTTTCAGAAGCAAGGAAAAAGGAAATTACAAAAAAACTCCGAATAATGTCAGGAATAATAAATTATATAATGACAAGATGTCGTTATGATATTGCATTTGCTGCAAATAAATTAGCAAGAATAGTTAATTCGCCAGATGAGCAATCGATAAAAATAGCTCAAAAAATATTAAAATATCTTTTAACGACAAAAAATCAAAGATTAATTTATAGAAGAGAAACTGTAAGCAAACCGATTATAAATATAGTAATAGATGCATCTTTAGGTACAGAATGGGATTTCAAATCTAGAATTGGTGTCATGGTTTGGTATGGCAGAAATCTATACAAAGTTATATCAAGAGCGACAACCTCAATTAGGGCGTCATCTACCGAAGCTGAACTAGATGCAATTTATGAAGGCTTCCAGGAAGGTAGATTATTGAAGAGAGTCTTGGAAAAACTAATAATATCCAATAATATTAATATTAATATTTTTATCGACTTAAAGCCAAATGTCCAGTTTTTAAAGAAGGATTATAGATCCAAGAAAAGAGATAAATTTTTAGATCTGAAACTAGCAAAACTCTCAGAACAAGTTCGAAGGGGCATAATTGTGATAGAAAATATATCTGGTATATTTAATGTTGCTAATATTTTAACCATACCAGTAACGACAAATCAATTTAAGAAATTAATTGAATGTTTAGAGAACAACTTAAACCCCGAAGATATTGTTCATATAACTGAACTAAAAGAATCAGAATCCAAGAACAAAGAGAAGATGTTGATGATCAGCTAATAATATCGTAAAAATATGTCTTTAAGGAGGTATGTCAGAATTATGAAGTGACACGTAGGTTATACTCATCTCAACATTATCCAAAAAAGGTAAAGATGTCAAAATGGTAAGAGCTTTAAGCTTCAATAAAGTAGATATATGTTGAATAAGGATCTTGACATATTACCGAGGTCACTGGGTGGTAACTCGATCCTCATCTTATAGCAGAGTAGTCTATATAACATAAGTAGTTTTATATATCGGAACTGAAAATTTGTTCCCTTTATATATGAGAGAAATTGATACATTCACTGTTCAGATGTAAAAGTAATATCTGATTGATTCATTTTGGTGATTGATACAAGATGTTTTTAATATAATATTTATATTTATTTCTCCGTAGTGTCTTATAAATGTAACTAAATAAATATATATTAATATTTTAGATAAACAATATTTTAGATGTACCAAAATGTCATGCCTTTTTATATGTTTAGATCCAATCTCATAATCTTAATATTATTTATTTATGATAATAAATTATGATGCCTTTGCACTTCACTTCTTATGATATGATTTGGCAATTACTTAGAAGGTCGAGTATGACATTTGCGATCGAACAATTGCAACGTGTCATAACCTTTACTGTCATAACCTTTACTGCCATAACCTTTATTGCCATAACCTTGAAACCCATTAGTGTGAACCATACATTTTAGGTTACAACATTCACCTTGTACGAAAAACAGCAATAGTGACATAAACTTTATCCTCGAGTATCCAGTGTATTATTTGGCCTTTAATTATTATTTAATTGTATATTGAATTTGGTATACGTTAGAATGAAGGCTGGTAAGCGTATATTCTATAGGATCTTAAGGGTTGAGATCTGTAAGTTAAAGTAAATATACTAGTTAATAATAATAAAGTTCTATATTCTTTTATGTACAAAGTAAGATACTAAATAATATACAATAATATACAATAATATACAATGATCTCTTTAAATATCAATGTTAATATGTTGAAATTGTTGATCATTTTTAATAGGTGACATATTTCTTAAATTATATTTCTCCGTGAGGATTTTATATATAATATAAAATAATAATATAAATATGTAAAGGTAATCTTGGAAATCAGATTATCCTAATCTTGAGATTAGTGTCCGTATTTATACGTTTAATCTTCGATCTCACAATCTTGTAATTACTAATCATTAATTCTAACAATTCCTTGCACTCTCACTCAAGTATTTTAGTTTATTGGTAATTTACCAATAATATTCTTTTTATTTTGTTTCTAGAATGTTCTACAATATTGCAAACAATCAATAACCTGATTGTTAGTAATTACCTGATTAGTTATTGTATACCATATTAATAGATTGATTTATGTTATATTATCATAGATATATCTATGACGTCATGAACATCTTATAAAGTAGTCACGTGTGAGTGGAAATAAGGAACATTCTGGAACCTTCTAGGTCAGAACATAATAGCATGTAACAACATTCTTGTAGTGACACATATTTCTTCACCTTCAAGGTTCGTATGAAGTAACCTCGAAATAGTCTCGAAATAATACACCAGGTTAAAGTCACAACAGGACAGGCAGTAATTTCCCGAAGAAAAATATGGTATTCCTTTTGCCTCAGTTAGGATACCTTTTAAGAAAAGTTACAAAATTTAGTGGTCCTATAGTGTAGTGGTCATCACTTTCGGTTTTGATCCGGACAACCCCGGTTCGAATCCGGGTAGGACCTTTTTTTTGCTTCAAAAAATGTTAATTGGAAGTTAAATATATATAATTTTTGGAGCTAATCAACAAGAGTTGCTCACTGCTATATTATTATAGTTCGAATATCTTTATTGTTTATCAGATTGTTTATAATAATACATATATAGTTATTTGAATTAATATACATCCAAGTTATCATGAACTAAATTAACCTTTTGAAGTCCTCTAATGTAGGAACCCCATGTTTTATCTCCACGAAGCATTACATCTTTATTACCTACTATTATTAAACCATTCTTAGCTCTTGTTAATGCAACGTTCATTCTTCTCTTATCACTTACAAAACCAATCTTATTTTCAGGATTATTTCTAACACATGAAAATATAATAAATTTCTTTTCATGACCCTGAAACGAATCAATTGTAGAAACAAATATGCCATTTATAATATTAATTGTATTTACTTTTGGTCCTTCTAAAGTATTTCCGCTTGCTTTAGAATTCAACAGATCAATTTCATCAAAATCCTGGAACATTTCTACTTTTTCAGGATTAATAACACTATCGTTAACCAGTAAATTTGACAGCAGATCCCTCTGGGCAGAATATGGTGTAATAATACCAATTTCATCCCTTTGAACATTCTTATCCAAAATAAGTTTATACAAAATTTTAACAATTTCACGCGCTTCTGATATATTATTATATGTGAAACCAGCTGACCCTCTAACTTTGTTAAAAACTTTTCCTTCTCTACCCTTATTACAATTGTAAAAGAACAATGGGTATTTAATGCCTGGGAACTCTTTATCTTTAATAGTGACACCATCTTTTAATTCGCCATTATAAAATGCCTTGATTGGGAATTTACTAATACTTGGATGCATTCTATATTGGGTGTCAAGCATATGTGGTTTCTTGTATGAGCCATTTAATAAAACTCTTTCAAACAAGGACATTTCTAGTTGGGGAACATTGCTGAAACTAGACAATTGCTTTTCATCACCCACGAAGACAAATGTTCTTAAGCCTGGCAATGAAAGTGGAACTAAAGTAGCGGCTTCTGAAGATTGTGTAGATTCATCCATGATAACAACGGGTAACTCCTTGATGGACTTCAGTTGTCTACCACCGGCTGCTATGTTTGTAGTGAATATGATTTGAGCTTGAGAAACATATCTATCAGCAATAGTGGTTTGTTGCGTGGAAAGTTTATTGATCTGATTTTTTGAAATATCATTAATTCTACCAGAACGTAACTTCCTTAAATTTTGTTTCATTTGATCAGGCAACTGTTCATTGACAATATTGTGTAAACAAATTTTGCCCAACGGGTGATTAGGGCCATACTGAGGCTCTTTTCCTTCAGAAACAATTCTCAGAATTTTGATATTTGGTCTATTCAACAAGAATTTCTCAGCAATATTGTCAATGGCAATGTTACTTGCGGCAACACACAATATAGGGAAGGAGTGAAAATTCTCGATCATTTGAATAATGATTTCTTCAATTGTTGAAGTCTTACCGGTACCTGGAGGACCTTGTAAGACCGTGATATGGTTATTTAGTACATGTTGAATTGCAGACCTTTGTGATTCGTTTAAATTTTCATTTGAAAATCTTAGCCTATTATTAAAATCAAGTTGCTTAATTTGCTTTTGTCCCAAAATTAAATCGATAAAATTTGGATTGTTTATACGAGTCATTGCAAACATGATTCTATTAGCTTGTGCTGAACATGGTAATAAGTAAAATTCGTCACTAGACGCCTTTCTTGGTAACGGTTGCTTATTCCAATGAAATAATTCCAATAAAATCATAATTTGACCACGTTGAGCTTCGACTTCTTTCACATAAGTATACCAAACAGTCGATTCATCTTTAGTACAAAGCATAATACATTGTCTATTGTAGAAAGGGAGCCTACCCATTTTTTTGAAAAGCGGTGATGTCAGTCTCTCTACTTCGACATTATTTCTTTGTTTAAGAACGGCAATTAAACCTTGGTCTTGAGCTTTCATTGGCCATATAATTCCAAAGTTTTCTAAGTATTCATTTTCAAGCTTCTGTTCTAAAAACAGGGCATATGAAAAATGATTCAAATAGGATTCTAGATCATTGTAAGTTAGTTCAGGCTTATATTTCAAAAACTTTTGATAATGTATACCTTCTTCTAGATTAGATGTCGAGTTATCATTTAATTTATGATGAACCTTATCTTCTTGTGTTTTGGTTATTCTGTTTTCTCTTTTATCCTCTGTTTTGACCAATTTTTGCTTGTTGGAATCTTTAGGCCTGTTTTTTATTTCATCACTTTCTTTAATATCATATTTCTGCAAGGATTTCCTTTCTGGATTATTATAAGATGCTAATTTATGATTGCTCTCTGGAGTTTTTATCTTTTGTTTTCCCTCAGGCTTGGCCTTAACGTTAGAATTAGATTTCATACCAGTTTTAGAAATATTCTGTTTATTTCCAGACAGTATTTTGTCAGAGTTATCATTCTTTTTGTTAGAATTTCTTTGTTTTCCTTTATCTGATGAAATATTTGAAGATGACAATTCTGAATCACTAAAATCAGATGAATCTAAAAATTTGAATTCCCTTGGAGTATTATTCACTTTCTGTCTACTAGGCAATTTCTGTTGTTGAACATTATTGTTGGGCCCTTTAGAACTGGTATTCAAAACAGGAGAATTCTTCCTACTATTTCTAGAAGAAATAGAATCCGTGGATTTATTATAGGTGGATATTTTTTTCGAACTTGTTGTCGATCTTGAGTTTCTACTTTCTTTACCTTTTTTATTTAATGTATCCAATTTTGTAGAGGATGAAGTTGCTCGTATACCTTTAAATGACTTTAAACTCAAAGAACTATCACTTTCAATGACATTATTTATCTTTTTAATCTCAATAGCTCTCTTGGCCATTTGTTCATGAATGGTTAGCGGCTTCTTGGCTTTCTTACTGCCAGCATTCGATCTTTTCATATCTCTTCTACCTCGACCCATTTTTCTCCTAGTTTCCTTTTTAAATCTTCTATTAGGGCTCTCATTAGGCTCTTTTATACCTAGCAAAAGGTAAACGAATTTACCACTCTTATCAGATTCATAACCAGAAGGTGAACCCTTTTTCTGCAGGCATTGATTACAAAGAATGTTACCCCTCGTGTTGACGTTCAAATTCGATTCTCCACCACATTCTTGACAAGTACAATCTCTTACTTTTAAATAATTATCCCAATTTTTTAATATAGAACCATTTGAGAGAGTATAACAAGTAGTTGGTCTTTCATTATCTGAATATTCTTTATCTAGGCACGAATTACACAAAGCTAACATATCAAACCCACCAAAACGAATAATTTGCAATTGATGAATATTAGAATCATTACACTCTTCACAACAAACCTCTTCTTCCCTTAGAATATCTTCAATTTTCTTATGTCTCGTTGACGACAGATGTTTCATCATCTGTTCTGCATCTTGGCTTTCATTGCACGTAGCACATTGAAACTGACCCATCTAGAACCTGACACCTTGGAAACAATAAATTAACCTTATAGAACCCTTTGAGGAAGAATTCAAACTAAAACTCGATATAATAGTTATTTTATTTCAACTTAATCTTTCATCTCAATTGAAACTCTTCTTAAGTTCAATTTTGACGTTGCGATATCGTAAATACTAATAGAAAAGACTTGTGTCACGTGATATTAATTACTATAACGTTCATGTTAATAATTCTATTTAAAAGAAGACCAAATCAATTAGTAAATGACAGTTCGCTTGAAACAACACTCTTGATATATGATAATTTGATCATAGATCAGCGTTTAGCATTATATTGTCTCATTTAAATCATATCTTTGTTGAATTTGTATGTGCAAGAAGAATTCGATTCGAAATATTTAAGCACATTTGGAAAATTTAAGTAGTCAAGTACAAGTAAGAGTGCTATTAATCAACGAAAGTGTGCTGTTTTGCTAAAGATAGAAGGTTAAATTGATAACATTAGTTGGCTTGTCGAGGATTCAGGATAGTGCTACTTTTGTGAGGTGGAGAAATATTGAAAGTTTGGTTTAGTTAATCACTTTTTTTTATTATTATTATTTCCACATTTCGTTAATTATTAATATTGGAATAGGTTATATTACTAAAGAAGGTAGATAGAGATATTGCCTAATAGATAAAAGGAAATAATTGAAAAAGTTTAGATATTTTAGGAATGCCACTAATTAATATTGTTGATCAAGATCAATTCTCTAGATTGACTACTACCGAAGCTAATGGTAAGATTGTTGTATTGTATTTTTATGCTACTTGGGCTGAACCTTGTAAAGCTATTAATGATGTTGTAAAGGCATTAAGTGATGAGCCAACAAACCATAATGTTCAATTCTTATCTATTGATGCAGATGAACATTCTGAAATTGCTGAACTGTTCAATGTTTCTGCAGTACCTTTTTTCGTCATCATTCAAAATGAAACTGTTTTGAAAGAATTGTCAGGAGCTGATCCAAAGGAATTTGTTTCTGCTTTAAATGAGTGTAAGACAGCTGCTTTAGGTGCAGGGTCATCTTCTACTTCTGCTGCTTTAAATGATGAAGCTAGAGTTAGTGATGATGAGGATGAGGATGAAGAAGAAGAAACAGAAGAAGAACTTTTGGAAAGGTTGACTAAATTGACTCAAGCCGCACCTGTCATGTTATTCATGAAGGGCAGTCCTTCTGAACCTAAATGTGGGTTTTCAAGACAAATAGTTGGTATCCTAAGAGAACATCAAGTTAGGTTTGGGTTCTTTGATATATTGAAGGATGACTCTGTCAGACAAGGTTTGAAAAAGTTCTCCGATTGGCCAACTTTCCCACAATTATATATTAACGGTGAATTTCAAGGTGGTTTGGATATTATTAAAGAATCGTTGGAAGAAGATTCAGAATTCTTTCAAAATGCTCTTCAATCTTAAATTTGCTTAGGCAATGAGTAAGAAGAATTATCAGAAAAAGTATAAGTTGAACTTTCGAATGTTCCATTTTAATCCGTTCCCACCATTAAGTCATCCAAATTGGTATTAATTAATCCGTTTGGTAATATATATTTCTATTCTAATTTTATTTAACGTGAAAAACGTCATGTAGTCGTTATAATGTTATATCATGCATTATTTACATTATTATTGTTACAAATCTTCAAGATCTGAATCAGAAAGTGATTCATTTATATTAGTTATTGGTGCTACTTGTGTAGCTTGTGTAGCTTGTGTAGCTTGTGTAGCTTGTGTAGGCTGCTGTGACTTCTGTTGTGACAAAAATTCATAGATCGAATCGTCGTCGTCGTCGTCCATGTCACTATTGCCCATGTCAGAGTCAACGATTGGGTCATTCATTAATTCTTCTTCCTCATATGCCTCGTCATTTAGCTCATCATCATCATCATATAACTCTTTCAATTTCACTAATCTATAATCTTTTTGATACTTTTTGTTATTAATAGATTTCACTGATGTACGTTCATCCTCAGTTTCAACCTCAGTTATATCATCTACAGTTTCTGTTGTGCCGAGGTCATCGCCAATTCTTTTCAAAAAATCTATGTTATCCTCAATTTTGAATGTATCATTATTTAGTTCCAATATATAGTTTTTCCTTTTTTCATCTTTTATGCTATTAATAAAATGAATTAATGACTTCTTTTTGTAATTTCTTAATTTTCTAATATAAGGACCGTAATAACCATCATAGAGTACAATATTGTTATATTCTTTCGAAACTTTGTACTTGTACAACGAAACATTTGAATAATCAATAGCCTGCTCTTTAAACTCATCTTGAGACTTTCTAATTTTCCATTCCCTTGGAAACGCTGCTTTACCATGTAATTTTTCAGCATCCAACGTGTGGTTTACTAGGCTATGCCGTATGCTTCTTGCTGAATATTCAGTTAATTCTAAATTAGATCCAAAACTATTACATTCACTTAAGGTGTCAGTAATTTTGGAGCCTAACTCGATTGGGAGTTTTGCACTATTAAATTTACCATAGTTTTCTAATAATCCAAGTGTAAAATTTTGACTCATCAATACGTCCCTTGCTGTAAGAAATAAAGAATTGATCATTTCATTATCATCAGGAATTTCAGTGGAACCATATATAATTTTTCCAATGATGTGAAAAAATGATAATGACTCTCTTCTTGTAAATAAGGTTACGTATGAATGAGAAGTAGCCCAAAACTCCAATGTTGCTATTGCAGAACGAAGATCACCACTATTGAGTGATAATTCCCTTATGAATGTATCTTTAATTGACCACTTGTTATTCTGCATGAGTAAATGTTTATTTTTTATGCAAATCTGACTTAAATATTTCCTCAATAATGTGGCATTAATCGGATTAAACTTAATTCTTTTTAATTTTGGATGTTGTAAAATATCTTTCCCAAAAACAGTTTCGGCGGTAAAAGTTGTATCCACTGAATATTGGTAATTTTGGGTAATGTTATCATCACTAGGGATGTCACATTCTGTGAAACAAATTACAAGAGGTGGTAAATTTGATTCCGAATCATATAGCCATTGTAGTAAGGCTTTTCGTATTTCTGATCTGGTATTGTTGTGGAACATATTTGGTAAGTCCTCTACCATCACAATTGATAGATTTTGGCCAATTCTATATTTAGCTTGATTTAAGAAATGTTTAAAATGAGAAATTGAAGAAGATCCCGATGGAACAAAATCAACCTGGTACTCAATCAAATCTGGGTTTGAACCAGTAAGACCAACTGTCGATGATCTATACATAGGTATTAAGCTATGAGCTAAGTGTTTGATTACTGAACTTTTAGAAGATCCGCTTGGGCCAGTTAGCAATAATATATGACTATTTGATGTACCATCAAGCATTGATGTTAATTCATTTCTAACAGACTCAAGTTTCTTATTGTGTATGGCTACTTCGCTAATATTTGTGGGGGAATATTTTTCATACCAACATAAAGAATCACTTGATGAATCATCGACAGTCATTTGTGTTTCATTTTTTATCGAATTAGTAGTGTTCGATCTTTTCTTAGTTGGTGAAATGTTTTTACCTTTCCATTTATCGAATTGTGAGCTTAGAAGATTTAATGCACTTGAACTTCTTCTAATAGACGGTCTCTCTCTCTCCATTAAACTTTAATAAAGCTAGCCAAGTTTCGTTTGGAATCTGCAATTTCTCTTTCTTTCACCTTTTTTAACAGACAACCAAATATACTCAATATTTCTACTGAGTTAGTTATATCAGACAAAAATATAGCCTTTGCATCCAGAGAAAGATATCTCCAAATGTATAGAATAAATTAAACTTGGGTTTCTTGGCATACGTAGTACGTTTTGTACATATAATAATAGATTAAATGATATTCAAATCTTCTTTGTACGTTCAATTCTTTTAAATCAACAATTCAGTGAAACATTTAACTTGAAAGAATTACCCGGTCCGATATTTTTGTCTATTTTGCTACTGGAAGAGAAAAATGGGTAGCCTTACCGAAATAGTAAAAAATAGTATGAGGAATTGCCGCCAACTTAAAGCAAAAGACAGAATAAGTCTAATAAGCAGCTATCAGTAAAGCAGTTATTTGCCGGTTTACCATATGTATATTTGAACTACATATAGTGGTAATTCTTTAATATATAGATATTAGTATTGAAATGCTTATCAAAGATGGAAAATAAAAAACAAAAGTATATACTAGTAGATTTATTTCTACAGACTACTGTAGTAGTTACCAAGAATAAAACAATAACAAGTGAAGGAAACGAAGTTTTGATTTTTTGCAGAAAAGACACGGGACTATTTATACGTTTCAAAATATAAGATATGCAAAGCCGGTTAGCCGCTGATCTGCTTCATATATATTTTCACTCGTACCTTTAGTAGGATTGGGGTTAAAACAATAAATTAAAGTAGGAAAGATGGCTTGATGTTATAATTTTTTGTGTCATTTTATTTTTATTTTTTTTCATATTTTTGTGGTAGGATTGTGATTGACACAAAAGGAAAAAAACATATTAGGACCGAATGAAAAGAGAATTAAACGAAAGAAACAAACCAAAACATTAAATATTTTGAAGAAAAAAAGAAAAATATAAAGAAATGGGGCACGTGACCATGTAACAGGTTTTCATACTATTTGTACAGAATTTGTTACCTAGCGATACCTTCACATCAGATCAAACCTTAATAGTCTGGTTTAACTAGATTCTTGGTACGGAAGTGTTTATAATTATACAATATACAAAAGAAATGAAGCATTTAGGCTATTAGGATTTATTTATTTTTGATATTGGTTGATCATACATGAAAAATGATATACAAAATATGTTGCTATGAATCAAAGTAGTGACAGGTCGTAATGCATACGCTTGTAACTTCAATTGATTAATGTTAATTGATGTTTAAAAAAAAGAGAGATAAATGTAATACAATATGGAGAAAACCAGTATTTGAACTCCATTTCGCGATACACATATATGTTTTCTTTTCTTCTTAACGGTAAGATTTTTGGAATCTAGAACGAGCACCTTTACCACCGAATTTCTTTGGTTCTGGTTGTCTGGCGTCAGCAATCAACAAGGTTCTGTCGTAAGAAGTGAAAGCCTTCTTCAATTCGTTCTTGGATTGTTCATCAACGTATTTTTGATGGTAAGCAACCAAACCTTTAGCAATAGCTTGTCTGATAGCGTAGACTTGAGAAACGTGACCACCACCGGTGACTCTAACTCTAATGTCAACGTTAGTGAATTTGTCTAAACCAACCAATAATAATGGTTCGTAAACCTTGAATCTCAAGATTTCTGGTTCAACCAAAGTGATTGGACAACCGTTAACCTTAATCAAACCCTTACCGGCTTTGACGTGGGCAACAGCAGTAGCTGATTTCTTCTTACCAAAAGTCTAAAATAAAATGACAAAACAAGGATTGTAATAGTAAATCATTGTTAAAATTAATGTTAGTAATTTTTGTTCATCATCATACTAGAAGATAAAAACAGACAAATTATTATGATTGATAAAATATATCAGGAATCGTCCCTTTAACACAATTGATTATTTGCATTTTTCAAAATCGAGCTTAAATCTAGTCGTAAATCTAAATATCATATACCATATTATAACTACCACTATTCAAATATCTTGTAGCACCATATAAAAGTGATATGAATCTCAAATAAAAAATTATGCTACGTATTTCTTGTAATAAACATTTCTATATTTTTTCGTTCTATTCAAATGTCATAACTTCCCCATATAAACTTGCATTTCTTCAATTTTAAAAGCTCTCTGAACTCAATTCTTATTAATTTATAGTTTGACAATCCATAACATATTTATCAATATTATCCTCTCTGTTTTCATAAATCAATTTATATTTCGTCGTTTTACATACTTGAACACTTGGGACAGCAGACATGTTGCAATATTCTTGGTGAATTTAATCCAAACTATATTAACAAGTTCCTACAAATATACCTGTTTTAAGATACTTTATTGTTATATACAACCAAATCTACAATTTCAAGATAGCTCTACCTTCTTTCCAGAATACAATACATTAGAGATAGATAGTACCAATGCAAACAAGTTGTTCCTCGACCCAGTATCCTACAGGTAGGAAGCTAGAGAACCTACAACAATTTAGTAACAACATGAAGCTAACTAACTGTATCTATTTTCAATATCACATCATCAAAGAGACTTTATTCCATCATGATCCATAATGCTATTTACTATTGAATAATCAATAATCAATAATCAATAATCAATAATTGATTGCACTACAAACAAAAGCTGTTTCAATTTTTGCTATTGCAGCTTGACGATTTGAAACTTTTCAGTGAAATGAAATTATTCTGGAAATTGTGACGAGATGAGATGAGGTAAAGGCTGAGACGAGGTTGCCAGAAGCATTGGATATCATTTAGAGAGGAATGGTTAATCGGTACCAGTGTAGCAATTCTTGTTTAGAAGGTACCTTCCAGTCTAAGGTGGGTTCGCTCTAGGCAGAAAAGTCGCTATTCTATGGCGAGAATAACTTGGTTTGTAGACAGAGAGAACTTTTACTAATTCCCAGGAAAAAGGATGGGAGAATACTTTACTGTCTCTCGATGAGATTTCAATAAGGTAATTGAATTACGGTGTTTCTTTGGACGGAACGCGATTAATTTGTGCTAACGCCTAGTTGTTGGTAACTTTTTGTTTATGGTCGCGCATTTTATCTGGAATGAAAAATGAAAGGAATAATAGGAAAGATCATATCAACCATCCATTGAGGTGTGTGGATGTTCAAACACCCGTACATTTGTAGTCACCTGAAATATACCTATCAATTATTACTATTTTAAAGGTAATGTCATTCCATAATCCAAAGACTGTGATTTAAATTGTATAACTACAAATTGACCCCATATCCAACTTAAATAGAATACAAGGTTACTTGACAAGATGTTTAAAGATAATTGTTATTCAGGCTGAGATCTTTGAATGACTGGAGGTCGAAGCACTAATAGTTGTATACTTTTTAGAGCTTTGTTTGTTGTGACACCAATAAGTGTCACAATGATAGATAATACCAAATACACACGAATTTATTCACGATGAGAGATAGGCGGGAAAGGAATCAAATTGTCTGTAAGATATTATAAATGTTTATGATTGAACAAAGTATTGAGAAGGTCTGTGGAGTAATTACCTTCTCGAAATCTTGTGTACGATGTATTAAATCCTTGATTTAGATCAAACGCTATTGGTATTAACATCCAGCAATTTCTAAATACCTTTAAATATTACTAGATTTGCGCATCTCAGTGCCAAATATATTATATATATCATAATACACATTCGTGTATTATTGTATATTTACTAGATAATAAAATTAATGTAAAGAAGAATGTTTCAATTAAATTGAATAATGGTAATTTTTATATAGATTTTATACCAAAAATTATCTTACAATTTATATATTAGTTGATTATAGTGCGAATGAGATAAAAATAATAGTTATATGGTATTATTTTAATTCCCTTAATCGAACAAACCGAAACCCATGTCATCATCGGATTCTTCCTTGGCTTCTTCTTCTTCCTTGGCTTCTTCACCGGCAGCAGCAGCACCACCAACAGCACCAGCAACACCAGCAACTGGAGCGGAAGCACCAGCACTGAAGTTAACCAATAATTGTTTCAAGTCTTGGGATTCCAAAGCCTTGGCAAAGATATCAGCCCAAATACCTTCAATTGGTAAGTTGGCAGCATTGGTTAAAGCCAACAAGTTGTCAGAAGAAATTTCAATTTCAGAGTCAGCTAAGATTAAAGCAGCGTAAGCCAAAGCAGTTTCAGTAGACATTTTTATTCTTCTTTAATACTTCGATAGAGATAATCAATTTAAGCTTCCAAAAAGAGCAGACTATTTCTTTAGTATTCTTACAATAAATAACAATAAGAAGAAGACAATAACTAAGATCAAGAATTACTTATAGCTTTAAAAAATCGAAATCTTTAACATCTCACTTTAAAGTATTAATAATTCATATTGGAATAAACTAGAACAACTATCTCATTAGATGTTAAACTTGATGTGTGATGTTAGAATTAGTTAAGAAGTGAAAAGTTAATGAAATGGTGATGATTTAAGATGTGTGAAAATTTTTTTTCAAGAAAGTGCGTGATCATAAAATACGAATTCATTAAATTGGTTATTTCAAAAAAAAGTCATGTGACATCAGGATCGATTTCTTTTTATACTTACGGAAGTATATAAATATAATAAATTTGATCCCGACGACTGTAATTCTATTTGTCTCTAATTTGTTTATTTACAGAGGAAACAAGCTGAATAATAATTCTAATCTATACTCATAAAACAACAACGAATATGGACAAATAAATGATAAAATAATAATTCAGCTGTTGCCTAAAGTCTCCCTTGATGTACTTTTTTTATTTCATATTTATTATTACATATATTAATGGGATATACTGCAGAAATCGTACTCTGTAGAACCGTTCCCCTTTGTCTTTTCAATTTACCAGAAATAAGCATCACATAGCAATCTTTTCATTCTCGTAAAAAGTTTAACTCATAAAAAATATGTCTGGATGATGCTGATGCTTTTTAGGTGATGAATAGGTGGACGTCGTGGTGGAAGATGAAAACGATCCTGGTGAGATGTAATCAATATTTCTCCTTTTATTTTCCTCATTATCAGGGTTATCTAACCTTCTTTTCTTTTCTTCTTGTTCCCTCATCCATTGCTCCATTAATGATTGAGGAACATCCATAGGTGGTAACATTATTTCAATCATCCTAATTTTATCATTTCTCGCAAAATTTGCATCTTTTAGTATATTTTGAAAATCTTCCACTGTCACAATTTTCTTAGCCTCATAATCTATGGCTCCAAATACTTGAAGTAAATTTAAATATTCCCATTGTTGAATATCATAATATTTAGCGTTGGATCGATGACTTAAGAATCTATCAATGGAATACCCTTGATTGTTCATTAAAAATATGTAAGGCTTTAAATTCCATTTAATCATTGTAGATACTTCTTGCATAGTTAGCTGGAAGGCACCATCACCCACAAATAATATAACTCGAGGCATTATTCCATTAGTTTTTCCGCTTTCATATAATTCATCAACGGCAAATGATGCTCCAAGACATGCACCTAAAGAGTATCCCACAGACCCCCATAAACATTGTGAAATACCATGTGATTGCTTAGGGAATCTCGTTTGATTGATACCAAACGCCGATGTACCTGTTTCTGTAATTATAACATCCTTTTCCTGAAACCAATGTGAAATTTCATTCCATACCCATTCTTGTCTTAGAACTGATTTTGATGGAAGTTTAGAGGTTGGGACGACCATTACAGGCGGTTTTATTGAATCGTATTTGATCAGACTTGAATCTACCCTTGATAATAAAGTATTTAGAAGTGGTTTAATATTTAAGTCAGGATAAAGCCTATTCCTAATCTTGACATAGGTGGATGTAATCAATACGACATCTTTTGCTCTATATGAAAAATGAAACGAACTTGTATGGAAATCGGGTAGGGTGCAACCAATAACAATAACTAAATCAGCAAAGTCTACTACTTCTCTTACGTGTGGAGACGATATAGATCCACTAAATACCCCTCCAAATTGGTCATTATTCTCATGCTACTGAACCCTTTCCCATTGGGGTACAAAATAAGGGAATTTTTGTTTTCTCACAGAATAATCCGAGTTGCATCGTCGACATTGTTCCTTGAATCTCAAGCTTCTGCTACTTAAGTAAGATGTTCTGCATTGTAAATTTTTTTAGAACAAATGTTCCTATACTTCATTTTTCCCACCCCCAAATTATTATTCTTTATCGTGTAAAATCCAAGGGGGACATTCAACATTGACTAATGTTTTGTGAACACCGACCATATCAACCGGTAGAACCCAATAAACTAGCTTTTAAAAATCCAAGCCTTGGTTATGCATTAACCAATTTCCTACACCAAAAATTCGGAATGGAAATAACGGGAGGTTACAAGAAAATACTCTGCCCTCTCTAGGGAAAATGTGTAATTTCATTTTCTTAATGATGTAGCATATACTAGTAGGGTGGTTTAATCAAAGTGGTGGGGTCCCTGCATACAGAAAGATCGCCAATGAGTAAAAGAGACCGTCTTATCCTTTAGGGTGATACATGCTGCACCACAGTGTGGTTGAAAACCCCACACTTTTATTTGCTACCACCGAGCCATTGTGGCATAATCTCTATACTCCCTCGCGCGAAGATGGTAGTGGAACTATCTAGTAGAGGACATATCCCGGAACAACATAGTGCA